TTTTCACAGGTGAGGATTTTGTCTGTGCATTTATCATACAGGCAAAAAAACAGTGATCTCTAACAATTCAACGTCTGCACCATTCTTCTCTAATGCAATTTTATGTTTCTTTCGTTTTAATTCCTTTTGTTGTCCACTTATTTGAATGGCTAGCACCCGTGTTAGAGTATGCGTGAGCTATGGTGGTACGTTTTCCGGGGGTTCATATCTTGGTGGAGTGGCAGAGCTGATGAGAATAAATTACGGCCGACAAATGTATTCTGAAATAGTTTCTCGTGTTCAAGCATTATTGAAGGCCGATCCTTGTAATTTTGAGTACTTATTGTGGGCAGTATTTGATGGAAGGGAACGAAAAGTGAAGATGAAAATTGAATCTAGTGAGGATATCTTAGAGCTGATTGAAGAACAAAAAACTCCCAACATTTACGTGGAGTTGGAGAAGCGAGTAAATGTAGGTGTTCCGAGGACGGCGCAACAAAGCTTCACGCAAATGACGGCGTCTCAAGGTGTATTTCCGAGTTCTTTTGGTGTTGGTAGTTCTGCATTTTCCCACGAGGCCCCATATTCACATCAAGCAGGCCCTAGTTCATTTACATATACTGGATATCCTCGGGGCGCTGATGATCAAACCGCGGGTTGTTCGAACCAACCAGGTCATTCTCATGACAATAACAATAATGATGACCAAACCAACACGCACAATGGTGACTCAAGTGACGAAGACAAAGAGGTACATGAGAAGCAAATGTTCAAGCTTTTCAGGGCATGGTATTGCGAGCATATTGAAGAGCTAAGATTAATTACCGACCATATTGATGTTGAAAGTCTTGCATATATGAATCGAGGTAGCACCCGGCAATCCGACGTTGAGCCACGAATGTGGTCCCTTCCTTTGCCGCCCACGACAACTGGATCAGATAGACAACCCATCTACTTATCCTCGAACAATATAGAATTATCTTTGGGGTTTGTCTTTCTTTCGAAAGAAGAGTTGATTTGTGCCATTCAACTGTATCACTTGCAACAAAAAGTTGAGTGTCGAACACCCAAATCCTGCACTTCTAGGTTAAAATCTGTTTTCGGTATGAAGGGTGTTCTTACAAGTTATGTGCAAGGGCTGTAACGCCCCAAAACAGTAATAATATTCAAAACGGTTTCACTGCTCGACTATAA